TCTGTGCTACTCCTATCTAATTCTAGAAAGTTTCACTGAAGTATATGTAATTTGTGGTATCTTTAGAAAAGAGTACTTGTTTCATTCCACGTGGGCATTGTATGCACTCCGCTTATGCAAGTTTGATGCGCATACAATGTCAATCTAAACCCGGTTAAGGCCACTGGCCAGTGGCCACATACTTACTAGTTACTACAGTACATAAAAAAATGGTTTGAAGCAACAACTTGAGATCACGACCGTTATCAGGGTGATGGTCGCCAAGAGGCTGCGAGCGAGAGCAAAATATAAGCGTGGGAGGCATTGAGAGGCGGGTGCAACCATTAACAACAACCGTTGGATCTGGGACGAGAGGCATCTGGATCATTTATTACGCTGATGAAGTGGTTTTCCTATTTAGCGGAAGCAGTGCTTCACGGCACCACGTCGGACTATGTCCCACAATGTAGCGAGTATGTAATAATCCCATAACGTTACGTCGGAATATGGTGACCTACGGCCACGGACCTGGGCAACGTTGGCCGAAGGAGGAGCAAGCCGCAGTCAATCCCGCGCCGGCCGCCGTGGCCGCCTGGTTATGGGGGAGGTGAACAGGACTGCGCCTTGCGGAAGGGACGGTGGCGCCGGCGCGCTATGGTAGGGTGGCAACGACTGCCGGCCGACAACGGTGGTGATGGCGTCCATCTATCCATGATCAACGGCGCCGTACGTAGTTGTTCTCCCGACCAACTACGAGGTACGTACGACGTTGGTGGTGGTGACTGGGTAAAGCCCGTAGTACGTACCGTGCGCGTGTATTCGACGATGGAGACGGCGGGCGGGACTCGAGACTGTACGGGCGCGACGGATGGAAAATGCACCGCTGCAGGGGCGATGTAGCATGTACCGCGCTGTCCGACTGGTCGTCTCCCGGTAAAAGAAAAATAAAGGAAGTGAAATGCACGTCAGACAGGCCGTTACCAACACTACGCAGTCCAAGTCTATGTAAATCCCGTTATGTTACGTAATTAATCATGGTGAGGGTTGGTTAGAGCCGGCGCCCCAACCAACCTCAAACATCCGGGCAGACGGCCCGGTCAGTGACCGGTCACAAAAAGGTGACCCAGACGGGTGCCTCAAACGTCCGGGCGGATAGCTCGGTCAGTGACCGGTCACAAAAAAGTGACCCAGACAGGTGCCTCAAACGTACGGGTAAACGTCCTGGTCAGTATTGGCCACAAAAAGTGACCCAAACGGACGCCTCAAACGCCCGGGCTAACCGACGCCCCTCACATCCAGCCCAAATCTAGAGCGGATGTGGGGAACCCAGACGCGTTTGTCATGTCGGAGTGACGATTGGTCCCACATGGAATCGTCCGGAAACCCTGCGGTCTGAAGCTCGTCTCCTCCGTTGGAATGATGTCGACGCGTGGCACCGCTCTGATGGGTCGCGTAGTGGCCTACCCGGCTATTCAAGCTGACCGTCGGCACCGAAAACCTACTGGTCCACATTCCCCCCTCCCTCCGCCGCCGCTGCAGCTCCTTGAGCAGGTCCGGGCAAGGCACGAAGCCTGGATTGCCGTGGGGCTACCTCCGGACGCGGCGGATCCGGAGGAAGACTTGGAGGTGTAGGAGGAGGAGGAGGAGGATGTGGGGGACGTTGGGGGCCGATTTTGCTGTTTTGACCCTTTTTGAAAAGTTCATATAAATCTAACCCCGGTCTGTAAAATTTTAGGATCTGACTCTTTTTCTTGGCCTCAGCGGTAAGGTAGCACAACCTATCGCCTAGGTCTATGGCGGTAGTACGTGCGCCGTCATGCCCGTTTGGTGTAGAAAAGACCCTACTGTCAAGTAGCCTTCGTCCTTGGCGGTAGGGTCTTCACCTTTGTTTATTGCAAGTATGCCCCTATAATAATTGCTTGCATGTCCCTACCATCAAGTAGCCTTCGAATACGTTCCCTCCCGGGTACCATCCTCAATCTAATTTATTGTCATAATCGAGACGTGCCCCGAGGCTATGAATACGTTCCCTCCCTGGTACCATGCCAACCCTTTCTCCTCCAAGTTCGGCGAGAGGCTCGGGAGGCTCACAACAACCGTTCCCCGATTGCTGCCAGCGTTGTTGACAACCACGAATCCACGATAGGACCCCATATCCGCTTTGCAGCACCGGGCAAGCAACACGTCGTAGCATCCGTCAGCGCTGTCGCGTGTTGTCGTTGCTGCGCGCTGCATCGAAGCATCCATCGGCGCCGCCTCGTGCTGTCGCAACTGTATCCGTCGGCGTTGCCACGTGGTGTCATTTGTTGCGTGCTGCATCGCAGCAACCGCCATCGTCATCGCGCGCTGCATCGCAGCATCTGCTGGGGCCCGGGGGCCGTCGCGTGTTGCGTCACCGGGCTTGACACGATGCTGCAATTGTGATCACCGCTAGCGCTCTCCCGGCGAGGTGCGCAACGTGGCAATGCAACACACGTTCTTTTGGTGGCTGCTACGAAGGGTGCCGAGCGGTGCTGCAACTGGCCGACGGCGCTCCGGTCGTTGCTGCAAGGAATGTCGTTACGCTTCAAAGGGAGGTCCGACGGTGCGGCTTCATGTTGTGCGTTGCGGCGACGTACGTGGGGAGAACGAAGCAGCGTTTGTACGTTGACTGAATCAATCAGATGGCTATGTTTGCATCTAGATTATGACCAATCCGACGGCCCGGCTGATTTCTCCAAAGGTGTAACGAAAGCGGTAACCTAGAATACGCTTTTTTGTGTGTGAGGGAAACTAGAATACGCTTTGGAGGCAATAATACGGTTGCAGGATCCCCCGCTATCAGCCAGCTGATTTCTCCAAAGGAGTAACGAAAGCGGTAAACTGGAATACGCTTTGGAGGCAAGAATACGGTTCCAATGAGCGCGGCCTTCCATCCCGCCGCTCCGCCGACCGCCGAGGTGCCGGCCGGACGGAGGAGGACGGCGGCGCAGCGACTGCGGGAGGTTTCAGCGAGCGGCCGCATTGCTGCGGCAGGAGGAGCAGCGCGGGCTTCCGGCGACGAGGCTCCGTCGCGCGAACCAAGACGCGGACTCGACGGGAGGGCTCTGCATGCGGGATTCCGGCGTCAGCAGCAGCGGCCGGGGCCACGCGGCGACTCCGGGACGCCGCTGCGCGATTCCGGCGCGAAGGCTCCGTAGCGCGAATTAAGGCGACCTTGACCAAGAAGGAGGGGTTCGTGCCGCGCGGCCGCCGGTGCTGGCGAGTTTGGGTCGGCACGTCGCAACGACGGCGAGCCTGCTCGGCGTCCCAAGGTTGGACCTTGGAGGCGCGCGAAGAGAAGGGGATCAACTCCAAACCCAGCACAGGTAAATTTCGATTCAGTAGTGGAACCACTAATTCAGACATTCAGTATTGTGTTGCATAGCTGAATATATCTTCAGAGTTCAGACTGTGAACACTTATCTTCAGAGTTCAGAGTTCAGAGTTAAAGCTAAATGGCCAAAACAGGCGCAGGGTTAGTCACAATCATAACAATGGCTGGGTTTAGTTTTGTATGCCACAAACCAAAGAACTAACTGTGCATACAAGATTACAAACATCACCTTGGAAGATCACCGATCAGTTCGGACATGTCGGTGTTCCGGTGTGTTCCCTTGTCGAACAATACAACAACCGAAGATGATCCTCCATTGTTAATTACTATGTGCATAGCTGTTGTCTTCAGGACCATTGGTTGTGTGCCAGCTGAAGTCTTCATTTACCAAGTATGCATTTTATTTCTATCTACAAAAGTAAGCATGAATTCTGGCGGACGATGCCCGCTAAAGTTTTTTTTCTTTCCAAAATGCCAATTGAAGTTAGTTTGAGCCATCAGAACATGTCACTTGGAGCAAAATACTGACAGTCAAAGGCTGCTTAATTGGACCATACACATCCAAAGCTCGTTCCTCACAGAATTACTACAATGGTATAAGTGTTCTACTTCTACCAAAGAAACAATGCCGTGTGTGGCGATTTCTCCAGCATGTCAAATCAAATGATAGGATTATTGCTCTGTAACTGGCTAACTTATTACGACAACGTGCGGGTTAAATATTTAGTGTTGCATATCCCAAACAAAAGAATTGAATGTGCATCAAATACAAACATCATCTTGCAAGATCTTCAACCAGCTCAGGCATATCGATAGTCCCACGTGTTGTCTCGTTCAAAGGGACAATCACTGAAGGTGATGCTCCATAACTACGTGCAAAGCAATTATGTTCACAAGCACTGGTGGCGTGCGAATAGAGTCTCCTCATCATATCTAGTCTCTCTGCAACTTCCTTCATTGTTGGCCTGTCATCTCCCCTCTGGCTAAGGCAGTGAACTGCGAGTTCACCCATGTTCCCAAGGACCACCATACCCGCGTCATCTGTAATTTCAGAGTCCAGCATAACGTGGTGCGTCTTCCGATGAAACATCAAGGGAAAACTATATGACAGTGAGTGCTTTCCATTAAAGTTGTCGGTATATATAGCCCTCTTTCGTGTCATTAGCTCGAGAAGAACAACTCCGAAACTGTATACATCGCTTTTCTCAGTGAGAAGATGGCTGATAAAGCTCTCAGTGTCAAGGTATCCCAGTGTTCCATGGACAAACATGATGAACTCACTTTCATCCATTGACTTAAGTGCTGATGCTCCGAAATCAGCAACCTTTGCATTGAGCTTGTCATCCAAGAGAATGTTGGCAGACTTGACATCACCATGTAGGGTTGTGCGAGATGTGGATGAATGTAAGTAAGCTAGAGCTTCTGCTGACTGTGTAGCAATCTTCAGGCGAATAGCAAGGGGAATTGGCAATCTACGATCAGCACCGTGAAGGAACTGGGATAGAGTACCATGGGAGACAAACTCGTAGACCAACATTGGGACATCCACATCCAGACAACAGCCTGGTAACCTCACAATGTTTCGGTGATTATAATCTCATTGACAAATTCTTCTCTCCAATCAGCATTGATTGCTTTGGACTTCTTTATGGCGACCTCTTTTTGATCATCCAAAGTTCCTCTGTAGACCACCACATCCAATAACTCGATCTTCATTGTAGTTGTCAGTGGCTCTCTTTATCTCTTTCTCCGTAAGTATGCGGATTGTGTCAACCTGCTTTGACCTCATCTCATCGTATAACTTGAGACCCCCATTTTGTCTGAAATACTCATCTTTCTCCCTCTTGTGCCTTTTTATTTGAGATTGCATGAGTAGCAAGCATGCTAAGGTCATCACCGAAGTTGCAGAAATACTGAGCCCTGCAAATGTATATTTTTCAGAAACTAACACTAATATATTTCTATAACAAATTTTGAGCTCACTATTCATCTTTTGGTTGTATAAGTAATACTTTTTATTGTTACATGAATGTTAGTTATTACAATGCATATGTTAATGTAAATAAAAGTATGAAAAGGGATTCACTGTTTGAATAAATGATGCGTACCAATGACCAATTTTTGATCTGAAGACAACAGAGATCGGCATCCAAATTTTGTACCATCAGGTCGTGTTCCTCTCTTGCATATGCAAGAGTAGTTCCCGGGTGTGTTGTTACAGACCCCTTGTCTGCATGGATACAAATCTTCATACTTGGGATCCTGCTTACGCAATGTGCACTCGTCTATGTCTGAAGATAACATTGGAAACATCTACTCAGAAGTGTAAATCTGAAACATGAATTCACTATGCTTTCACTGTTGCATGTTGGCTAAAGAAAGATTCAGGAAGTAATGAATCCATGTTTTCAATTCAATATGCAATGCTGCAACTATGCTTCACATAACATCTTCGAAATTAATATTACACTGTGCATTAACAACTTATATCAGATTTTTTTTTGCTTGCCAGTTCTCTGTGATGGTGTGGTGGAAATCAAAGCTACATGAGGTAAAATCGCAACCCACATATTGGAAAGTCTTCATATATATGTTTTGTGAAAGTGTATCTGGGTTTAACTAACACTGCATATTGTTTATAGTTCCATCTGTTTTCAGTGTAATATCCATGGAAATCTAGAGAACTTAAACTAAAGTAAATACTTAACCTTGACAGCCATTCAGAAGATAAGGATTTCCCTCATATCCTCCGGAGCATTGGCATAAGTATCCTGGACCATTGTTCGCGGCCATGCAATAGCTGTTTGTACTAATGCAAGCATAGTCAGTAGGTGTGTCTTTCCCCTTCTCCGGGCATGAGCCATTCCTAATGGCCCAGTCGACAACAACGGCAGCACCTCTCTTAGCTCGACCATCGATGAACCCAAGAGTGTCGGCAAGGTCCTGCTGCCTGAAGGTGTACCACCCAACCTCAGCCACCATGGCGTAGAAGCATGGGTTGAAGCTCCATACCCTGCTCTGTGTCATCTCAAATTTGATCTCCAACGAGGTGAGGTTGGTGGGGATGGCAACCTCACAACAGCCCATCCCATTGCATGGCGCGCCCTCAGACGTGTTGTTGATGCCCTCGCAATTCGAGTAGCAACCAGTCACATACTGGCCCGCGGTTTCTTTGTAGCCGGTGATGAGCCCAAGGGTGTTGCTGCCAATGACTGTGAAACGGTTGTGTGACGGTGACGGGAGGAAGGGCGTGTGCTTCAGATCGTACCCTGTGGTGAACTTGGTGAATGTGGTGTTCGACGTGAAGCAGATGTGGTTGACGGGGCTGTATAGGTGCATCTCGCCATTCTTCAGTGAGATGTCGGCAATCTCAGCTGCTACATTCGGATCACCAACAGTTGGCCTTGGTGGATCGACCGTGCTGTCGCAGTCGAGGTTGAAGTAGCTGTTGAGGCTGATTGCAGCACAGTGCGCGCCAATCCCAAAGGGGTATGGGATGGATACGTCGCCGCACTTGTCAGGGCAAGCTGGTGACGACATGGAGTGTCCAGAAGAGGCTCGGGCAAGTGTTCCCACTGCTGGGCAGAAGATACTTGCTATGAAGATTACCATGACTGTCGATGCTCCTGCCATAGTTGGATGCCAGTTAGCCATGTTACATGTATGCAAACACCACATTAGCTGGACAGGGTTAAATCAATATGGAGTAGGTTTGTCACCAGAAATAACTAAATGGAAGTTCCTCTAGCCATACCATGACCGCCACATCCAATAACTCGATTTTCCTTGTAGTTGTCAGTGTCTCTCTTTATCTCTTTCTCTGTAAGTATGCGGATTGTGTCGACATGCCTTGACCTCATCTCATCATATAACTTGAGACCTCCATTTTGTTTGAAATACTCATCTTTCTCCCTCTTGTGCCTTTTTCGTTGAAATTGCATGAGCAGCATGCGTGTGAAGGCCATCACCGCAGTTGCAGAAACACAAGCACTGAGGCCTGCGATAATATATTTGTGAGGAACGGATGCTTGTAAATTTCTATTAGAATTTGGACTTTGCTATTTTCCTTTTGGCTGCAACTTGTAAGCAGTGTTCAGAGCTAATATTTTTGTTTCTGTTACATCATTTTTGCTATGGAAGCACACATTTTGTAGATGAAAGCATGAACATAGATACACTGCTTATATAAACGAGGCTTACCAATAACCAATTTCTCACCAGCCATTGGCCGCGGCGAATCGATCGTGCCGTTGCAGATGAGGTTGAAGAAGTAGGTGTTCTGGCTGCTCACAGCGCAGTCTTCCCCAATGCCGAAGGGGTATGGGATGGGCACTTCTCCGCACTTGCCAGGGCAGCCTGGCAACGACATGGAGCGGTCGGATGAGGCTCCGGCGGCTGCTGCCATTGCTGGAAAGGAGATGCATACTAGGAAAACTAGCAGGGCTGCTGATGCTCCTGGCATGACTGGATGCCGACAACCCATGTTACATGTATGTCACATGTTAAATCAGTATGTGGTATGCTTGTGTGTACAAAAGAAAAATTGCAAGTTGCCATGTGATTCATCTGAGAGAGTCTCCAGCAGTGTCAGTCAAGTAGCACAAGTGGTATCACTATACCAGTGTACGTTAACACGCAGGGAGACTTTGACCGTGATTGTGTGTTTGCCTTTATTTCGAGTTTTTTTTTTTTTGAAACCGTACACCCGAAGGCATACGTCACTTGTATTCATACGAGTAGGAAAACATTACAGAACAGACCAATACACGTATTAATACACAACGATACAAAGGATACAGGCAGCACCATCCGTAGCCGAAAGACATGGAAACCCCACGCACAAAGAGTATTGCAAAGGAGACTCGGGAGACTTCCATCTACGTTGTGGACGCACGGCGCCCACTTCTCCGCCGTCGACGAACAGCCGGCACCGGAAAAGACTTCGGACCTGCCACAAGCCTGGAGCAGGAGTAGCCCCTTGCCAAATTGGCGTTGACGAACCGCAGCAGCTACCAGTTCAAAAGAAACTGGATCTAAATCCCAGAAGTATATCGGTCGGATGCGATCCCCCTGTTGAGGATGCTCCCCGAGCCGCTCCTGCTTCAGATCCGAGGACGACGCCAACTCACCTCGTAAGAGATGACCGGATCCCTCACCAACAAGCCACAATCGACCACAGACCAAGCCACCCTTCTCCCTGCACGACGAGTCGGCATCACCGTGGAAAGCCGGTGAACCAGGCCACCATCGCGCCAAAAGGCTATACTCCACCGGCCCCTCGTCAGCACCAGCCACGACACCGACGAGCCGGAGCCAGAGCCAGGGTACCTTTATTCGAGAACTCGCCGTCGTTCGCTCCGTCAAGACTCCGGCGCCGAAGACCCAAGCAGGGGACGAAGCCCCACACCTATATACACGCGCCACCGGGATCCGATGTTCCCCCAACCTCCAGCCACCCAGAGGGCAGCCGGAGGCGAGGGGAACGCCCAGAGGCAGCGGCAGAAGAACCTGAAAAACGGAGTTGCCGCCGATTCCTCCTCTCTACTGTAGCTCTCGAGAAGGGTCCCGAAGCGGCGAGAGTGCCTTTATTTCGAGTTGCTGCTTTTGTCAATGGTTTCACACCCCTCATCTGATCTTCTATCGTTTCGTTTCCAGGAAATGAGATGGTTTGGTGGTGTCGGTGGTAACGTGAAGGAGGATGAGATGAATCATTGTAGATTGGCTGGTTGAAGCCTACTCATTGAAAAAGAAAATCAACAAGGTGAGAACACCACGGTTCCAACTTCGCATTAGAAAAGAAGAACAATTCTGTAGCATGCACATACGCTCTTGTTTTTTTTTTTTTGAAAGAAAAGGTAGATCTTGTTCTACCTTATGCATTCAAAACAGGCCGTAGCCCGATAGACCGAAGTCATTTTACATGAAGGCGGTGTAAGCGCTGCACAGAGTGTGCAGCAGGCCAGCGCCAAGCCTGAAAAGGAAAGCAAAAGGAGGAAGGAGAGACAGAGGCTAGGAGTCTAAAGTATATCTACTGTTGCAGCATTACATTAGCCCAAGAAGTTAACACCTCCCTTGCATTTCCTCCTGGTGCTCTCAGCTTCCAGAGCATAAGTAGTTGAGCAATCTCAGTAAGAACCTTTCCGGTCGTCCAAACAAACGCTATGAAAGACTCGTGCATTCCTGGCATGCCAAAGCGCCACTGCACCACCTGCAAAGAAAACATGCCAAAGCGCGCCATATGTTTCCCTTGCTATCCCAGAGGCCGTAAAAACTGCAGCAGTTTCAGCAGAGGTTGCTGAATCCAGGAGGCCAGCCTTGGCCCAAACAACTTGGGCGAGTTTGCATCTGAGCAGGATGTGGTGCATGGTCTCGGCTGCTGGGCACAGATCGCATCCGTTGTGTTTTACAATCCTTGTCCATTGCTTCCTCACCATGTTATTCCTAGTATTGTGCCTATCCCTGATGGCCAGCCATAGGAAGACACGGTTCCTTTTGGGTATAATTCGATCCTAGATATAAGGGGCCAAGGGGCAATCTATGCCTCTGAAGGTGAGCAGCCTATAGAAATAGGCTGTTGATAGCTTGTTATCCAGGCCACTGGCTTCCTATTGTCTGGCCTATTAGGGGTTGGTGAGATGCTAACCAGAAGATCATTCAGTGTGTGGTCAGCTGGATCATATCAGCATTCATGTATTGTGTTGGATTCGCCAATGTGCTGGCTTGCATTCTCATAGGCTGGGGACAACTAGTCTGCTCAGCTGGAGCATGTGAACACTCAGGGCGCGTTTGGTTGCTTTTTCCACAGGGCCTGGTTGAGAGGGAAAAAAAGGGCCAGGCTTTGGAAATACAGGGTGAAAAATGTCGTTTACATGTTGTTACCCCGGTGTTTGGTTGCCTGGCTCGCATGGTGATTAAAAGTTAACGACTGTACTTAAATCAGAGCACCTCCGCCAGCGTGAAGCCGTGAAGCACCATGAAACCACCCTGCTCAAATTTCTCATCGCAGAGCAAAACCACTCCACACTAAGCAAATCAAAAGCTTCCAGGACCTCAAAGCCGGCCAAGGAACAGAGCGTCAAGAGCAAAACTACTCCGTCTTGTTGGATTATGAATCGAAGGAAGAAGATGCGTCAGATCAAGGAGACCAGCGGGGAGTCGGGATTGCCGTGCAGCGGGAAGAACTCCTGCACACGGTGGGTGTGCGCACCGCCCGGCACACGCGGGAGCAGGCTCTGGCTTGACACCGCCGAGGCTGCCGCCCGCGCGAACAACGCCGCCATGCTCGCGCTCGGCGCCGGGGGCGCTGGCAGCCTCAACTTTGCCGACTCCGTCGAGCTGGTGAAGTCTGCCCGCCGTAGCCCCAGGTCGCGCCCGGCCGCGTCGGCCCGCGCTTCCTCCGCCTGCCGCAGCCCAGCTCGCGTTCGGCCCACACTTCCTCCGCGCCGCAGCCGCAGCTCGCGCCCCGCCGCGCGACTTCTGCGCCGCTGTTGCCGTCGATGTAGTCCTCCCCCGCTCGAGCTGCGTGCGCCCGCGTACTCCGGCGGCTGTTGCTGTGGTGGAGGCTGCGAAGAGAAGGCGACCTCGAGCGCAGCGGCGACGGGCTCGCACGCGGCGAGGCGGGACCGGCGGCCGGATATGGCGCGCGCGGGGGCGAGTTCACCGAAGCGTGCGCTGCAGGCCAAAAAGTACTTGCATGTGACCAAACAGCCCAACATAAAAAAGATAGCTGCATATAGGCCTATATGCCTATATGCCTATATGTCATATGGACCTCATTGTATTGACTATTTGAGGAGCATGAGGAAACCAGGAGCGAGAGATGAGTTCTTAGATTGTAAAGGAATTAGTGCCGTTGCGGTGCAGCATTGAGCAGCAATGAACAGTGTACCATCTCTCGCTCAGAGGACCAAAAACCTTCTCTATTCTCTATTTACATCTAAAACCAAATGATCTTGATAAAATACTGTATATAAGATGACCTTTGGTGTTTTTTCTATTAGAAAAAATTGATATGCTGTCACTGTCATAGCTACGCAACTCATCTTCTGCTACAAAATTCAACAAAGCAGAAAGGAAAGCGGTAAAGATAGAATACGCTTTGAAGGCAGGAATACGCCCACTCGAATAACTCTCGCCGTTTCACCGCACACTAGAGCGAGCGAGTGAGAGTCCCTTGCCCAAGCCGCCGGACGGCCCCCCACCCTGCCGCCGAGGTGCCGGACGGGCGGCGGTGACCGGCGGGTGGCTTCGGCGAGCGTCCGCATTGGTGCGGCAGGAGTAGCGCGGGCTTCCGGCTCCGAACCGAGACGCGGATTCGACGGGAGGGCTCTGCGGCAGGGATGGAGGGAGGGAGGCTTCAGCGAGCGTCCTCGTCAGCAGCGGCAGTGTCCACGCGGTTCCTGCCGGACTCGCGCTCCCGTAGCTGCGGGCTTCCGGCGCCGAGGCTCCGTCCCGCGGACTCGGCGGGAGAGGTCCGTGCGGCGCGGCGACCGTGGCGAACGCCGGTGCTGGTGAATTCGAACCGGTTCGTTGCGACGGCCGGGAGTCTGCTCGGCGGCGGCTGGTCGCCGGCCCACGTTTGGATCGGGGGAGCGGATCGAGCCGCGCCAACACAAGGGGATCCATTCCACGCCCACCACAGGTAAACTTCGATTCAGTATCGCGTCACATAGCTGAAT